CCCCTCCCTCCCCCTCTTCTCTGATCAGCTGACTAGCTGTCATCGTATACACAGAGAGATTTAAAATCATTGTTCGTGTTCGGTTCGCAGGTGAACAAGGGGTTGTTCGGTTCGGTTCGTTCGAAGAAAAAAATGGTTGTTCGTGTTCGTGTTCGTTCGAAGATTTTTAGGCCAATTTTGTTCGAGTTCGTTCAAATTCGAACTGGCCTGTTCGCTCATCTCTACGTCCTCTATAGTTACTTTTCAGCACGCTTTTCAGTGTTCTGATTCATATAAGCTAAACGGATTAGTGGCAAGATTTTATATCTTTCATCGAAAAAGCAGAGTGCTCCATCAAAACATACCCTTCGTTAATAAACTTAAATTTGTTTTGAGTTTTGGGTATTTAAGTTTTAAAAACGAACATTTTTCACATATTTAATAATGGTAGTAAGAAAATTACAATGTAGCTGGAAAATTTGTTCGTTAAGTTGTGCAAACAATTCTCTTTGGCACTTTTTCGTGTGAGCAGCGATTAGGCGAGGAATGAAAACGTCACGATGTGATCAAACGCAAACACACTTTCTCCCCGAGGCTCTGCTTCCCCCTCGTAATTACACCCGATTCGTCACGACTAATAAGGGACGTATACTGTATCAATTTGATCCGTGGTGTGGCGCTGCTGTGGGAGCGGCGGGAGGCGACGCGATTGGCATGAGAAAGTTTTGGTTCGGTGAGAAATGCTGAAACAACTTGACGTGATATTGTTTTGATCCGGGCTTCGCGGGGCGCGCCTCTCACCGAGAGTCCATCTCCCGCCGACAGTCATGTGTTTAGGGGCGACCAAAAATAATACGCGGGACCCGTATCTGCGGTGATTTACCGACAGATTTGGCGTGTCGATTCGCGCCGATTCGTCACGGCGCCGCGCCAAGACTCCGAGCCCTTCCCCCAGCGCTATGCGCTTGCCCGTCTCCCCTACACACTCTGCGCTTCGATTTACGGCACCAGTTTCTTTGCGAAATCTGTGTTGTGGTTTATAAAATTTTGAAACTTGCCATTTTTTCCATTTTTGGGGGATTTGTGGTGTTGTGGGTAGGGGCTTAGGGGGCACTTTTGAAGCCGCACACGAGTCACTGCTCGGACCAAGCTTGGTCAAGGGGGAAAATAAAAATAAATATGAGAGAACGGTCAGGAGGTGCAGCGCTGATTGAGTGTTACAACAGGTTCCGGGAGATGAGATGAAGTCATTCCAGCAGGTATATAAGTTTTATTCCCCCTGCCTCGTCGCGGCTCCTTTTTGGCGTGTTATTGATTTGTAAGGCGTCGTCTATGGAAATTAATACGGCGTTTTAGGTCGTTCTTTTTTTAGTACCGGCCGTCATGTTTACAGCCCTGCCTGACCATCTTCTCCCGGTGATGTGCGATGCGGGGCGGAAAGGGACCCCCTGCAGGCCCCGTGGACACCTTCCCGGAACGCGCACGTTTATCCCCAAAGATGACGTTATTATGATGGGCTGCGGGTGGTTAAAGCCTTTCGGGCTGACCGACTGCGTTGTTATGGCCTCGGCGGGGCGGTGGTGGTGGTGTCGCACTACTACATCGTCCACCCTGTGCGGATCCTGTGAGAACGATCGGACCACATCATACTCGTGTAGTGGGAGTGTAATGGACACCGGTTAGGACTACATCAACGAACTTCAGGCCGGGGGAGGCAGAGACTGTGCAGCAAACAAATGCCTGGTGGGCGTGGCGGTATGCGTGGCGGAGGAGGAGGGTCCGGTGGCCGGCTGAAAACAGCCGAGAGTTTGATCCGCCAGTCGGATTCAATTTGCCTGTGGCCCCAGACAGACGGACCGAGCGGAGCCACGCCGCCGCCTTCGCCGCAAAGATCCCCGTACTCTAATTGCGGACCGGTGCGGTTGTGAGGCGCCCCGCCCCGCCCCCGCCCCCGCACCGCACAGCCTCCACCAAACGAGAAACAATTAAGTTGGCCAGGGTGATGATGCGCAGAGGCTCGCTTTGACGGGCGCCGCTGCTGCCCCACGAGCACCGCCTCCGCCGGGCCACACGGCAGTGAAATATGAAAAATTGCGGACTGTCCAGTCCAGCCGCGCTGCGGCCACTGCTGCGCCCCACCGAACCTACCGACCAACATTCTGGTGGGGATTTGTCACGCGGTTTGAATACCGGTCCCATCAACATGGTCATCCTTTTATTTTTTACTCACACAACTTCTTTTTCTATGCGCGTTAAAGACGACTACGGCGACGTAAATTCCGGAATGTCAAACTGAATATGAAAGGGTTTGTCGGGCCGCGCCGCCGCCGACTGGAACGGCAATCGAAATCTAGCGGCGGAAACAATGGCTTGTCAAAACAGCTCCGGTATGGAAATATCGCGTTCAAACAACGCTCAGCCGAGAGGCGGGCCGGGCGAGGGGGAAGGCAGGGGAGTTGGAGAGGAGGAACGGGAATGGACAATGGCCTAAAGTGGGAAAGAGGAGGAAAGAAAGACGGGGCGGATAGAGAGAGAGGGGCGGGGGGAGGGG